ACATCCCACCCTTTACCACTGTGAAACTTGTTTCAGGGAGGGGCAGGGTCCCTAAGGAGAGCTGGAAGAAGGTAAGTGGTGAGGGTTGGGGTCACCCGGGACCAAGGATTCAACAAGGTTAGGATGCCTGAGCCTAGCATCCAGGTGGGGGCAGCAGGGGACACCTGGGTCTTGGGTTCAAGATTTGGCAATGCCTTGACCTAGGTCCAGAGCTGAGATAGGGTCTGGAAAAGCCTTGGTCCTGGGATCAAGATATGCTCGTATTTAGTCTCCGCTCCCAGCTTGGGGGACAAGAGTTGGGGAAAGGTGGTTTCAGATATGGATTAGGGGAGTTCCTCCAGGCCCTGAGTTGCAGGCTGACTCTGGTCTTCAAGCTCCCATTTTAGTGGCTCTGGCCTGGTCTCAGGTTCAAGGCGGAAGGAATTGCTGGTCCCATAGGGCTGGGTGTGAGGGGTGCCCCAGTTTGGGACCAGGGTTGGGGGGATGCTGATGCCCTGGTTTCTGGACTGGGAGAGGGCTTTGGGCCCCAGGTTCTGGCCAGGGTATGTGGTCCTGGATACAGATCTCCGGTCCCTAGGATCCAGCCTCCTGCTCTTGTCCCAGCGCCTCTAGTAGCAGCCCCATTGGCGTCCGCTTGAGACCAATACTCTCCATATTGTTCTCAAGCTTGCTCTTGAGGTTGCGCAGGTGCAGTGAAACGTGCACCAGGATCATCAGCCAGAGTGAGACCGAAGCCCAGGCATATTAAGTAGTTGCTTTGGTAATAGAGGAGGTTGTTGATGACACGGTGGCACCATAGCTGCGGATCGCCCAGATCTGGGGCTGCTAAACGCGCTGAACCCAGAACAAAGTCTTCTAGAGCGTGTAGCGGTGGCAGCCGCACCTCCGACATCCTGCAGCTCCTCATTCACTGTTTTATAGAATTGTTTTTGAGTATTCTGCTTTTCCTGTCTACTTTACCACCGTTTTCTATGGCATGATACATACTTAAGCAATAAGTACATTCTTCTTTTTTTTTAGGTTTCAAGTTAGTAATCTTTAAAAAAATTATTTATTATAAATCATTTTATTGGGGGCACGTACAACTTATCACCATCCATCCATCCATCCATCCATCCATCCATCCATCCATCCATCCATCCATC